AAAACTGGTCATGGACTGGACACATGGAACCAACAATCTGGGGTATAATTTATGTATGTTCAATTTAGTTGTTTTTACTTCTGATGAAGATAACATGAAAAAATAACGAAATGTGTCGCCGTTCTATAGGCAGTCTTGTTGCAGCTCAGCAACGGGAAGAAGGATTCCAGTAATTAGTTTCCTTGCTCTTGTAGAAGGCAGCTACGATGAAGTACATCATTGAGATTTTCAAGCGAAAAACCCGACTTGGCGCATTGTTCAAAGTGTCGTCATCGATAAGGACTTTGTCGAATGACGGGTTCTCGAGAAAGCTTTCCCGGACGCTAAGATACTTATGTGTCAATTTCACGCGTTGACATATTGGCGGAAGGTCTGCCGACGTCCCAAATATGATCTAAAGATGGCTCAACGAGAAGCGATGGAGGCTGCCTTTGCGAAGTTGATTTATTAGCAATAACGTTTAATGTTGTGTTGCTTTCTGTGTTGCTTATTTTATTTATTACCAGTGTCTCCAGCAAATCACAGTCTAGGTTTGACGCTGAAGTAGACGTGTTTACTCGGAGGTGTGAAGAAGAGTGCCCCAAGCTGCTGGAGTATTCTTAAGAAAACCGGAAAACATGTAGTCCCGTGTGGGCAAACGACACTCGCTGAAAATTCGTCACCGCTGGGAATACGACGACCAACCGCATCGAGTCTAATTATAAATCAGCTAAACGGCTCCTTGGGAATAAATCGCAATTGACTTCACGATTAGTGACCTATTGACACACCAACGGTTATTCGACAGCAGATCGCTGCCATGCGCAAGCACCCAATTACCAATCGCCAACCAGTTCGGGTCCACAAGTTTCTTTCTCTTTTCGCAAAAGACATGTGCCACGACACGCTAATAAAAGTGCGGGACCAGTGGGATTTTTTAATGGAGATTTTGGCTCAGAACACATTTGCCAAACGACTAAGTGACGTGGGTCAATGGGAAATAAGTACGCCAGGAACCATTTTCCAATGTAACGACTTCGAGTGGAGCTGTTCCTGCCTATTCTATTGCACCCACCATCTACCTTGCCAGCACTTGATGTATATCGCCGCGCAAAACCACCAGTTTGCAAAAATGCCGGCTTCGAGTATTCGGCCACGTTGGAACATGACATAAATGGCGAAGCTTGATGAAGCCTTCAGCCGTGGGATAGCGTCGTTTCAGTCAGTTCAAGACAAGCTGAAAGATACACCCGAGGCATCCTCGCATAGCGACTTTACTCAATGCTCAGCCTACGACGAAGTAACGGTAGAAACACACAATGTAGAAGCAACACACAAAGCAACACACGGCGCTGAAGCAAAAAAAGAAGTATCTTGAAGCAGCACAAGTGGAGCAAGAGGCTCAAGTTTGGGAGCAGGAAAACCAGTGCCGCTGGAGAAATTTGCTGGACACATCTCGCCTGTCAAAACGCGTAATTTACGTAAAAATGCGGCGTCGTGAGCGTGCGAACGCTGTCGTTCTGTCTTCTGAAGAAAAATACTGCTACGCCAAAGGCGGCATTTGAACCTGTGCCGGACTATCTATGTCAACTATCTAGCTCAAAATTCTACATGGCACTACAGTCATGGCGGGAAATAGTACGCAAGGGTATGCGCGAAAGGGCCACCGCGTCATCGCAGAAAACGACGGATTCCAATCAGAGTCGGGCGACGATAGCGACGATTCAGCAAGTGAAAGTGCATCTGAAATTACCCACACCTCCGTCTAGAGCCACAACAAAATCTATGCTGAATCCCAATGAAAGTCCTAATTCGGGTCTTACAACGACGGCGCAGACACTGACACAGGCTTGGCGGCAAACAATGGAGTCGCCTCCGGCCAAATGTGCGCCATCTAAGACTGTGGATCTCCAGTGGTCCATACACAAACGGCGAAGCTCTCCAAGCAAAAGGCGCGGAAGCAAGACCGGATAGACGTGCTTAGGTTCCCCCAACCTAATCCCCGACACAATGAGGTATTTAAAAGAAAAACTAGCTTGGCGGTACCCTCGGAGCCACAGAAAGTCGCAGCCATTGTACTGCCCGACAACCGCGGGCCATGACTATCTCGACTACTGGAGTGGGCTCCAAATACTAACGACAGATACCACGTTAGCGAGCTGATGGTAAACTATCCAGTCATCATGGACGACGACTTCATGGTAGCGCGTTCTGCGCGCTGTCAGTGTTCGTATGGGTGCGCTTATGACTACGACTACAGCTTCGTCATTCCTAAGCACCTAGTAACTAAGCTGGACGCAGTGGTCGAAGCGGAGAAGAAGAAACGAATGAAATTCAGCTATTTCGGCATCGATTTGGAAGCCGATCACCACGAAGGTACTATGAACGAGATCATCGCGTTCTTTCCTGGAGGCACTCCAAAGTTCACCAGGTTTGTTGTTTGTACTGCTGTGTTGTTCATTGTGTTGCTTACTATGTTGCTTATAATGTTGCTTGGATTGGCTACATGATGCAAATTATAATGTGAACTAGTGGCGCTGTCTACCGCATGAAGGCGTTCTACGGAAGTGCGAAGCTTGGCTGGCAGATATGGATTGGGTTCTCTCGACAAAGTGAAAAAAAACCTGTCAACCCCAGAACTGTTTAATGAAGAGACGGACACGGACGGGATCCTACCTAGTAAGTCTGGTGAAAACACATAAAGAAATTGCAGAAGATGTCGCGAGAATGCATGGCGAAGCATGCCTTGGGTCCATGTTTCGGTTGTCTGGTGGCGAGGCCACTGTCAAGCTGGCCCTTTTGGCCGGCATGTTGGCTAGAGAACGGATGCTGTGTGATGTTATTATCGGCTTTAGCCTCCGCTGTATCTGCAACTCAGTTGGTGCTATTGACACCTACGCTCCGACGATGAGATGCCCAATAAATCCAGTAGGGCGCATTTCGATGTACCATTACGCTGTTATGCCCGTTCACGTGAACAACAACCACTGGGGAATAATCATGGTGCGAATGAACTACCGTCAAGATCCACCCAACATACTGCTCTGAGCCTTTGTGCAATGGCTTGTATCGGGTGACGATGGAAGATACTTACGAAATCACTGTGGCACCTTTTTTTTTTGCGAAGTTGGCATAACTCTTCTATGTGGCTCACCGAGTCGCCGCTAGAATCAAGCGCAGTATGGCTTGACGCTCTAAACCTACCAGACGGAACGTCGTGTGGTGTGCTGTATATTGCTCAGGCGTATGCGATGCTGAGAGATAGCTTCAGCTTTTCCAGAAACTGTTGTCACACGTGATGATGTTGCTGCCATGAGACTCAGAATTCTTTGGATGATTCTTTCACAGCCTGACGTGACAGCTCGATCCAGCAAACACGATCGAACAGTGAATGCTACATATAAAGCTTTGCTTGCAACCCTAATGAAATAAAAAAGGCTGCTTGGTTTTGCATCACAACGAATAGATTAACGTGCTTCGATTTTACCTCTGACTCACTAGTGCTTGTCAAGCATTTTATTGCAACACTCCCCCAGCATCAAACTGTAGGACATCACGTAGCCTCTGTCCAAATTGACGACCCCAACTGCAACTGCTAGGCGTGTTGCATCACCTTTCTCTTCGGCGAGCATTTAGGCGAACTCATCTCGAGCTTGTATTAGCTTCTCCGAGTGTTGAGTCAAAATCTGCAACTTCTCTTCCATGCGTTGAATTTGCCGGAGTTTAGAGCGTAATAGCTATTTGCACAGCCTCGACGTGTGAGCTGGAGAGTAGCTATGGCGTGTGGTAGGAGGGGATGGAGTCGCTACGGGCGTTAGATCTTCACTAGCAGTGCTGGTACAAGCGCGTGCATCTGTGTTGTCTTGATTCATTTATCTCTCAAGTCTCTTTGTTTCGATCAAATCGTCGCAGAACGTGCCTTCGCCTATTACAAATTTTGTCAAAGTGGAATCGAAAGTTTCGAGGTTCCCGAAATATATCACGAATAGATTACGGTCGACCCTTCTAGTGTTGTTTCTTGTGGCACTCGTTGAGGTGTTACAAGCCCATTGTGTTGCTGCAAGAGCTGTCGTGACGCTGTAGTGTGTTGCAGGAACGCCGTCCTACAACTATACCTTATGTGCATCCGGACAGTTCTTATTTATCCTGGACTATTTTCAATTTAATCATCAACAATCAGAGTACAGCAAATACTAGGTTTTGATTGGTAGTTCTTTGGTCCGTTTCCACATAAGTTATACGGCTCAAATGTCGGTGGATGCCCTTAGCTGGAGCTATATATCGCAGTAGCATATGTAAAGAAGCTTTCGTTTTGATTTTTAAAGGTCCATCGTCGGTCAAGGACTCCAATAAGGTCTTTAGTTTTGTTTTCATGCTCAGTAGAAATCTCGTTACATGTGCCACGACAAGTCATGTCGAAAGCAAACAAATTCCATTTTCTAAAGAGCAAAAGTTACTGCTCTTTGGTAGTTGCTGGTAGCCACCACAGATGCCCAATTTTGGAATTGATTGTCTTGTCATTCTTGAAGTTAAATGTCAATAAAAGTGAGTCGGTTGCTTTCAAGATTTACAAGAAACTCTTTTATCAAGCGTGCGCTTCCGACCGAGAACTACGCTAGAAAGTTCAAAATTCATCCACGAACGCTGTTTGCATAACAATAAGTCCACATTGATCTAAATAGCTTTTGGTATTGGTGCGCTCGTGGTAATAAACAATAACAAGAATCTGTTTTAAAGTACTCCTTGCTTTTTTAACAAGGAGTAAATTCTTGGTAGTAGTAGTACTAATAAAACAAAAAGTAGTAAATGACAATTATGCTAAAATGCTATTACTGTACTACTTGGTATATAGTACTACTATTATAATAGCACAGTTTCGAGACGAATTTTTCGACTCGTACCGTGAAGACTCTGCTGACCTTTCAAGGTTATGTCATAATGCTCAAATTGGTAAATGTATTGAAGTTTTACGTAGGATACAGTTCAATTATCAACATGATCTAGCGTACAGCATTTTCAGATCACCCAAAATACTGCGATTGAAAGTAGACCGTTGGTCTTTGATTAGTGCTCGAGGGAGGGGGGCAGTTACTGATGCCCGCCGGCTGCCACATATTGTTGCAGTGGAACCCCATGGACGTCACTTGTTTGGCCACGTCAGCCATACGCTGCTCATCTTGCAGAGCAACACACGACTGCAGTGGAATGTCCGGTTCATCATGGAAAGCTTCAGGTGACGTCGAAAAGTCAAATGCGTTAAAGCCATCGCCAGCGCTCATTGACTGGCACCAGTGGCTATCATCGCTTTGGTGCTGTTGTTCCTGCTGTTTGCGTCGCCAATTAGCAGAAACTTTGCGTCGCCTTCCGTCATCCTCGTCCAGATCCTTCACCTTGGCGGGGGAATGCTGTTGCTGTTGACGGCGGAGTAGGCGGCGGTGACGCGCTCGGAATCTCTCGATCTCGGTCGCATCCTCGTTGGGCGTCATGAACTGGAGCATGTTTTAGCAACTGTGGTGGACGAGCGCAATTCGTAAAATGAGAGATGTTGTCGCACAAAAAGGCAACTTGCCTTTTTTGTGCTGAAACGTTTGCAAAGACCGCGTTTCGATTGGATGTAATCAGGCACTTGAGTTTTGTTTTGACGAATAAAACAAGTAGCTTCGTAAACGTCACTTGCATCGACTTCAACGCGCTCCTCGGCTGTGTTTGGCCCGCAAATCGCTTCACGTAGATTCTACGACGCTACGCATTGGTGTGGCTGGCGGCTATTCATACTGCCGTCATCGTCGCTATCGTCGTCATTTTCGGCGGAAGCAACGGTGACTGTGCTGCAAGTGCGCTCCAATTGGCTGCGTGTTTGTGGTGGGGCACAACGCTGAGGCAACATAACTGGCGCAACGCAAGCACTTCAAGTCGAGGTTCGAAACATAATGCATCCATGTGGCTTGAACTCATGCCAACGATTCGAAGGTCGATGCTTACTGGACGCATACTCGCGAGTCGCGAGAATGTCGCGATAAACGCTTCAACCTCGCCGTATTTGTGATTGAATTACGTGTGCACGCACAGTTCGATCGAAAACTGTTGCATGAGCACCTTCAAGGTTGGTGGCAAAGAGTGTACTGATGCTGCGTGTTTGACGCGAGGTGGACCGGAGCAGATTGCTGGAACGGTGTTTTGCAATGTGGCTGTATATCCCGTCAGTACCGAAACCTGTCAACGTGAGGCTCTGCTGCATGATCCAGGACTCTTGGGCGACTCCTGGTACTGCAAGCAGGACAGCATAACGCGCAACGATTTGCTTCGCCGGAGGCGGCGGCGAGGGCAAAATCTCGTGTGGAATGGCGACAGGAGACGAGTCTTTTTCGTGTTAATCAGGGTTTGAGAAGAAGAGAAAGAGAGCGTGGGTCGTGCTCCCTACTATTCTTCCTTGGCGCATTCACACCCGCCATCCTAATATTTTGTTCGCACTCATCTTGAATTGGAGAAGTTCACGCAGTCACATACACAATATCATACTAATAGGCTTGATCACTGCCGTGCTCATGAAAAGAGGCGTCGGCTCTGGTTCTCGCGCGGGGGAAACTCCATGGGCACTGCAGCAGATGCGCTGCCCTTCGTCAGACAGAAAACCTTGGCCAGTGTCGCCCCGTTGCTCATTCCCGCAGCCGCCGCGCGCACGAACGCGTCGTTCTCGATGTACGCGAACATGCCGCAGAGCTGGCCGAACTGCACGACGCTGTTAGGGGCGAGCAGGACGCGACCAAAGCGTCCGCCAGCTTTCGTGGCCAAGAACGTCATCATGTCGTCGACTAGCGAGTCAGCTGTGATGCTGCCTCGAGGCTGCGACAGCCACTCGGGCATGTCCACGCTGGCGTCCACGGCGTTAGCGGCGTCGACGAACTGCGAGAGCGCGTTTTGCTCCCAGTGAAGCGCCAACGCGGGCTCGTCGTCGCTTACCGACGCAGAGGAGAGGTACTCATCCACCTGGAAGAGTTTGTTCAAGCCTATAAGTCAGTGGAGTTGCCACAGCTGACAAATGTGCAGGTCTTACCTGGGCGATGCAGTCTTGGTAAGAGAAGGCTGTGGACATAAAGGCAGGGGGGTTTGATGCAGGAAAGCGGTCCTAAAGACTTGGTCTGACGTCCTCGGGCCAGAGAGGAGAATGAGGCGACTGACTCGCTGACGTGGAGATTGGCTCAGCTGCCCCAGTGACTGGGCCATTGAAAAAGATTATGGTTGAAGAGGTCAATGACAAGCAACGATCGGACGACGTCGACTTAGGCCAATTGCAGGCGAGCAACGTGCCACACCGAATGCACACAACCAATCTTGGAAAATGATCAGCATGCAGTGCATTGATGGCAGTCAATGTCAAAAGCTACTGAGACACGGAGTAGATGGCTTCAGGCGCGATAATACGTGTACGATGAAGTTCAGCGAACAAGAATTCACGCGTTTGTACGATAGCTGTGTGTACTGTACGATGTAGATGTACATGTACGCAACGCCGAGAGCTGAAAGTTCATTCAACGGTGATGAGCATTCGTGGTGATGATTTTATTATTGCCGATCGCGAGTGATCAAAACCTGAGCGCTCCTGTGTCGGTAATACATGCAGACCCGGCCAACGAGAGATACGCCAAGCGTCTATAGTACTCATCGCAAATACATGTGCTGTGCACGTTGCCTTGCTACATATGTGATCAATTCGCTCGGTCCTCACGTTTATTGAAGCCTCTTTCGCGTCAGGAAACGTGTTGGATTCCGCGTCGGAGCAACACTCTGCGTTTCTGAGCGCCGCCACGTTGAAGCTGACTCTTGGTGTGACTCACACATATATTCGTGCGCCACATCACACACAAAGAAACCACAAAACACTTGTCACTTTCGAGATTCACAACGTCAAGAAGAAGACGAAGAACAAGAAGCTCCAAGCGCTCTTATCATCCCGGCACCATGGACTCCAAGCACGAACCCGCTGCGGCACAGCAATCTGCCGTTCAGTCTGCTGTCAAACCAACGCCTTTATCGCCTTCCCTTCACCACGACGCCCCGCCCAAGTCGCCTACTCGCTCGCCGATTAAGAGTCCCAGCGCCTTCGAGCAGAAGCCTCTCCGCATGCCCAAGCCCATGTCTATTTAAAATCTGGATATAACAAAAAAATACCAGAAAAATACACTGCAATTTTGGGGTCCCGGCATTCAATTAAAATATGCAGTCTTTAAAAATTAACTTTTTTCCGGTCTTCTGATTCAGCGATAGTAGGAACCCACAGGCACCATGAACGGCGAGGCAAGAGGACTTAGCGCTTTCTGGTCCACAGGCAACGCACATTCCAGCAGGAGAGTGCCGTCATGTAATGCCAGTAGAGGAACCTGGTGAGTAGTACTGTGGGTGTTTGTAGAAACCGAGCAGACGAGCTCTACTCGTTGATGAGGATGGACGTCGTCATCTTGGCTTAAGCTCTGGAGAGATGCGTTCCATCTAGCTCCCAGCAGCACAATACCGTGGATAGTAGCGAATGTGCTCTCAGGAACGGGGCGTTCCGGTGGTTTAGTGCCGTCTTCATCAGATTTGCCAGGTGGTAGACGTAGCATGAAGTCGATCTTACTGGATCCATCCTTTTGAGTTACGTTAAGGATGTAGGTTAGAGACAGACCTGCAGCTAGAATAGCGGGTAGCCACCATCGAGATGGAGTGACGTTGAGCTTTGTACTAGAAATGAAATCGTGCCAGTCTTGGTAGTGCTGGACCACGTCGTGAAGAGACCAGGAAGACGAGATCGGTGGTGGGGTGACTGGATCAAACATGTTTGCTGGTACTTCATTGCGTAAAATTGACACGACCTGCATGCGCACATGGGTGTCTTTGACATCTTCAATACGGAGGAGGCTTATCTCATCTTGCTCTTCGTCGTCTTCGTCATCCTCTTCATTCCCCGAATGCTCAGGCAAAGAACCTTCTTGTTCTTCTGGAATAATAACCGGAACTTCAATGTGCAGCAGACTTGCGAGTATCGTCTCCAAAGTATGCAAGCAACCCTCGACCTGGCGGTTATACACACTCATGACAGACGTAGCTGTTTGCACTGCAATCGACCCCCTAGCATCGTTTTCTTCTCTTGCGCCACAACTTTCTGGGTCTATACGAGGTGGCAGCGCGTCAGCGACAATCGCTCGGATAATTTCACTAGCGTCACGCAGCAAAACCTTCGAAATCATATCAGGATCGCCTGATACTGCGTCTCTGCTCTCATCGAACCATCCAAAAGTCCGCGTCAACTCTGGCTCCAAGTGGTTCCTCATTTCATTGCTGCTAGAGTCTAGCCTAGACGTGGCAAACAGATCCCTCGACGTGTCATTCAACGACCCACGTCGATCAACTCCCAAGTGCTGATATCCTAGCAACAACCTCTGAAGCTTCGAGTCTACATACTGGTCAACACTAGCAGAATAATTCCACACCAGCTCCAGCCACTGATCCATCGACAAGTTTATTGTTCGCAACGATTCACTTGGAAAGCCCAGGAATCCCAGACGAAGAGATGAGTTAACTACTGACAAAGTGCTGATACCCTTGATCAAAGGCATCGACGGAGTGTGTGTAGATGTCACTAGCTCACCAGGAGACCGTAAGCTTTCACGCACACTCATCTGTCGACTCCGACCTCGAACACTTGGCAGCGAGCCCAATTTCTCCGAAGATGAATTCCAACTTACAAGCTGCAGACAGTCACTAAATAATCTCTTTAGAAATTCCACCTCTTGGTACCCCGCAGTTAGACGAGTGTATGAACTCAGTGCCACTTGCTGGAACATCTTTCGCTCCAGTACCGTGTCACTGTCAGCGCTCATCTCTGTGTGTCGTCGTTGGGTTGAAGTGTTCTGTTTTTTCTCTCGTATCGTAGCTAGATACTGGTTAAGCGCAGTAAGCAGGTCGTCGTCGCCATAATGGAAAATATCTCCGACACCAGAATACGTACTTCTCAGCACGTTATTACGGACTACCAACGTTGCGTGGAATAACACAAGACAAGTCAATACCTGCCAGAGATGAGGCACCGGTATCTTGACAAGGTCGTCTTCAGATTCAACTAGTGAGCGTACTGTTTGGACACTTGGGTACATACTCAAACGCAGAATCGTAGACTGCAGACACTTGGAGAGAGATGGTACAGCACTAAACTCTTCCTCGTATTCATCTCGAAGGCAAATGATGTTCGAGCGAAGATGAATCGGTAGCAAACGCCAGTCTTCCACTGCGGCTACAAGTCGAGGATACGTGGGAGTCACCAAGTCGATAGCCGACACTCGCCTCGTCATCGACTGGGAGGTGGAAGCGCGATGCCCACTCCTGTTCGAATTTTTGACTGTACCCTCTGTTGCTACTGTACTTAAACGCTTGGCAACTTGTTTGGGAGCGATTTCTACGCTGTTGTGACGCTGGAAAGTCGCGGAGGACGTCTGAGGACTTGAGCGGTGTAGAATCTGGGTCAGTATTTCCCAGTTTTGAGGCGTCCCAGCACTGTTCGTCATGTTGATAACAGCCAGCGGCGCCTCCTCCAGAGTTTGTATTTCATTTTTCTCCATTTCTAAAAGCTGCTTAAAATTATTTAACATCAGAAGAAGCTGCTGGGTTTCGTCATCTTCCGCTGACTCGACGCTGCAAGGGAAAGTATACAGTTCCGCCAGATGAACCGAGTTGTCCCCCGCTTTATCCTTCGCAGTCCGGAACTTCCTATCCACCAACGTTTGAAGAACACGAAGTTGCAGCGATGTAGATCCATTGAACCCGTGAAAGAAAACTCGTCGTGCAAAATTGAAGCTACTGAACTCGTGACGTGTGCGTACAATTACTGTAGTCTTTTCAGAAGCGTTTCGAAGTGTTCGCAGCCAAAATCCCTCCCCTTCCGTCTCGTCGGAGCCTCGTTGGTGGAAATTCAAAGGTACGCCATACCCAGCCAACATTCGATCGCACACGTGTTCCGTCACTTCAGGGAATAAAACCAGACTCACGCGTAGTCTTTCGAGTCTTGTGGCTTCTTTTGGTATCGCTAAACGTACGATAGCGTCGACATCAGCAAGTTTACAGCCGTTGAGTATTGTACTCACGATACGTCGTTGAAAATCGGTTCGAGGAGAGGCGAGAGCGACCGCTTTACAGTTTTCAGCGGTGATTAACGACGAATCGCTATCGTTTATCCCCCGTTTTAGCTTCGCTTGAAGGAGAATTGTATCAACAGATCGAGAAAATGTCGAATTTATCTCCACCCGATTCACTCGTTTCTTCAACTCAGAAGTTGACTGGTTCTCCTCTAATGAAATAATTACTTGCAAGAGGAACCGATACCAGTCTCCAGTTGGAATCAAGGGAGCTACTCGACTCAATAAAGTCGTCAACACTTCGGACGGTATACCAGACGAACTCGATTGTGGACGAGAAGAGAGCGCGAAGCTGGCAGCAGTGCGAGCCAGAAGTCCAAAGTGGCGGCTCGCTGCCGATCGCTTGGTGTCGGGGCTGGTCGGTACTGAGGTTGTACCGGTTGTATCGGTTGTGGAAGGTATCGTTGATACGGCGGCCAGTAGGATGGGTTCAAACACTTGAAGTGTCAATGGAGGCGACGTATAACCGTTAAGTACCGCGTTAAAGGCGTTAAATACGGCAGCTCCGGTACGAGCAATGGGCGTGCACTGAAGTTTCACGAGTCGCAGCTGCTCCTGAATGTCACGACGCTTGTCTCGCAGTATCTGACGCGCTTGTTGCAGCGCTGTGACCCGTTCACGGAGAGCTTTCGTCTGCGAGAGCGGGAACTGAGTCGTCACTGCGGCAGCTTCCAGCAGCTTCGTGAGTTGGTTCTGAGCTGCTTCGTACTGCTGAGCCAGTAGCGCATGATCTTTCAATGCTGTTTTTAACGTGAATTTCCCACTCTCCGATGAAATTTTATCCAACATTACGTCGACCATGTCGTCCGAATGCAAATATCCGTCCAAAGTTGGCATTTTATGAAGAATTTCACCAAAAGAATCGCGACAAGCGTGCGACGTCAGAATCAACCGAAAGTTTGGATGCAGCGCGATCGTGTCCATCGCGTCGGAGTCTTCGGCTTCCACTCCCCTTCGAGCTATCACCAGATGTTCCGTACCGTCGATACACTTGACGCTCCAGTCCAACGCTGCTGCGAGACATTCATTCTCTTCATTGAGAGGTTGGGCATCATGTGGCTCGACGTCCAGCACCACGAGTTGATGCCCCGAACGAGCCGCTACCTTGAAAACATCGTCAAAGTCACGAGCTCGAGCGTGCACCATGTGCAGCTGAGGCCAATGCCACACGCGTCGAGCACAAGAGACCAGAAGTTGCTCCATTTCAGACGAGAATCTCGTGATCATCACCGCAGGAAGAGACGACGTTAAAGCCACCAACGACAACAGCGAAGCGTCCCAAAGTCGGCGTCGAGAGAAGATCAGATCGCCCACACTCGTCACCAGCTTCGTGGTCTCGTCAATGCAACCTCCATCCGGCAGATATTCGCCGTTAAACAAGCCACTTAACGGCGTCTCGGTCAGTGCATCTCCCTCTTTAAGAACAACACTTATCGACGGAACAAACGTGCAGCACGTAGACGTCGGTGGACAGCCAGGTGTCAGTCCTCCATAGCAACAATAAGCTGCTCCCCAGGCCTGAAAAACCTGCTCTCGCACTGAAAGAGCACTCAATTCACACGCGTACGTTAACGCTCCAGCCGATAGTAACGCGTTCCACGTTGTTAACGAGAACCCTCGACGCATCGAGATGGCATTAGCGGCCTCTCTTTGCAGCTCTCGGTCTTCTGTCAGCGCCTCCACAGCCAGTTGTCCGCTGTCACATCGAGCACTGAGCGACGTCATTTCGCTCCGTAGCGCGTCTTTCCGAGTGCTCGCCGTGTCGATCGCAGCTTGTGTGGCCTGCCACGCTGCGTCTGCGTCCCCCGCGCGGTCTCGACTGACCTGGAACTCGCGCATGATGAGCTGTAAGCGACCTTGCGCCTTGTCCAGCTTGTCCAGCGTAGGCTGCACTTTGTGGCGCGACGTGGCGTACTGGTGGATGGCTCGCACCCAGCCGACCATGGAGGCTGCTGCCACACTCTGTCGCTCCACTTCTTCGCGTCTGAAGCGCTCGTCACTCAGAAATTCGCTCTCTAACTTGGTCAAAGTAGCGGCAGACACGGCGTCTTTGTTGAATTGCAGTAAGTTTTGCACAAAATTCGCGTCACCGAGCAGCAGGCGACGAGCGCTTTCCCATGAGGATTCGAGCTGGAAGAGCACGCAAATGGCGCCGAGAACGAGGTGGACGAGCGGCGGAGGACTCCCAAACGACTTGATCTCGATGATATGACGGCGATCTACCAATAGTAAGGCTCGGTTGGCTTCTTCGAGGCAGCTCATGGGCTCTTTGAGCTCCTTTTGGGCTTGTTCCTGGGCTTCATTCGTGATAAGAATCTGCTCATCTGCTGCGGCTCGGAAGCGCTCCATGATGAGGCGGATGCGCTCGGCATCTTGCTTCTGCTCGGTCAATTTAACTTCGTCATTTATCAGCTGCTGGTCGATTGTCGAGAGCTGTTCGGTAAGTAATTTATCACTCGAACGCAACGCACACAAGTCGCGATCTAACCGGTTGGACAAGTCGAGGAACCACGCGGTCTTGGCTCGAAAAGCTTCTTCGCGCTTGACATTTTCGATAAATAACTTACCGAAAAAAGTCGCCATTGCGAATATTCGACTTAGCGGAGGAGATTCACAATTTTTCACCGTGTCAAGCACTGCGAGATGCATTTCTGTCGCCATACACGCCACACTCCAGAGACTGCGTAGCAACTGCTGAGAAGAATCCTCCGAATCTGACATTTGACTTGAAATTTGAGCGTGAAAATGTCCGTACACAATTGTACGCAAAGAATCGCGATCGAGTTGCGGCATGGACACGACGTCGCACGTGGAAAAGATGCTCGGATTGGTCGTACGTACAGATTTTGCATGCTCTTTATCAACGAGAAGAACGACGCGGAGCTTCGCGCACATACGAGCCACAGCACTCGCCCACTTGCCGCTTGTGACGCCTAACGGTCTGGTTAGAGCCATGACGGTGGCGGCTACGCTCTCACTCTCCACTTCACGCTGACGACGCAAGTCGTCGCTGTCTTGTTGGTAGCGCAGATCAACTCGAGCCAGTTTGGAGCGTAACTCGCGTTGGTATCGCGTCTCCACTTGCTGGAAAGCGTCGAGCATGGGCGTTGTCGGGGCGTCTCGTTGTTTCTGGTGCAGAATGGCCAGCGCTTGATCTCTCGCGGCTTCGGCTTGGGCTCGGATCTGCGCCACTAGAGCCGCGTGTTGGGCTTTAAGAGCTAGAAGACGTTCGTCACATACTCGGGTCGCGAGGTTGACTTGCTCTTCTAGAGATAAAATACCGGGGACTTCTCCTGTGGTCATGAGAGCTTGGATCTGGTTGACGATGGCAGTCGGAAGAAGGTCCAGACGTTTGATGACGAGTGTGGCTTCTTGTCCAAAGACGCCGATACGGTCGTAGAGATCGAGAACCAGTCGCTTCCATCTCGTCATTAAGCAACACTTTGATGTGATATTTGGGTCGTCTGGGAGCCCCGATAACGTGAAAATTGCACTGTCTTCTTGACCTTCAGGCGCTCTTGAAGCAGTAGCATAACGTAGCAAAGTCTCCGCTCCACTTATGTGGTTATCAAGTAGAACTAGTCGAGCAGCTGGACGTGCCAAGACACGATCAATTCTCACCACTGCTAGAGCCTACAAGCTTACATTGTTAGAATGATTTTCACAAAAGTAAAATAAATTACTTACCAATTTAAAAGGAACGCCAGGGACATCTCTAGCCAACGCCGCTGTCTTGTTCGGACGCAGCGTCGAGCTGAACGTCCGCAGATCTCGCAGATAGGCCTGCACTGTTGCAGTGGACACAGCTTGGGCGTCGTCCTCAAAGCTCAACTCGGCGTACATCCACTTCCCACTGCGTCCTACAACAGTGCTAGAGGAGCTGTCCACAGCCGACTCCATGCTCTTCCGTCGCATGAAACTCGCACTGCTCCGTCGTAAGGCTCGCGTCGACGCACTCTTGTCAGCAGAGCTAGAAATACTATTTTCTCCAAGTTGATCCAGAGAAAGGGGAGGTGCTCCGTAGTAAATACTGGCAGGCACGAATGCCCATAGTCCGCCCATCATAACAGCTCGATGTTGCTGTTCCTGGAGAGAATTGAACTGTAAGCTAGGGCGAGAAAGTCTTTTGCCGCTTGGAGCAGACATTCGAGCAGAAAATAGCGCCAAGATAGTCGCAGGACTCGCGTTTTCGTCATTTTCTGGACTCACTTGAACGGACTGTCGTTTGGCGAAGCTCAGTCCGGATGCAGACCCAAGCGCGAGACTTGCACGCACGCTAGCGCGTCGTTGCGTCACTTGGGACACGATGGAGCGCATGCGTACAATTTCTGCAGCAGCTTCCGCGTCTTGATTGGACGCACAGAGACCCATGGACGGTTCTCGTAGAGCTCGACAGATCTCGTGCGTCCACAATCGTAGCAACGTCTCCACGTCGGAGAGTACAGAAGGTGTCGCCACAGCGAGACCTTCGTACACACGAGCTAGATCCTGTAAACAAAATTTGTACGCACGTCGTAGTCGATCCCACAGTACAGTCGTCGCTGCGACGATCATTGGAATCGCATATCGTATCGCAGGAGATAAAGTTCCAGAGGTTTTCGACGCACTCCAGTGACTCTGCAAGGTCTGGTCGAAGATATTGTGCAGTTCTTCCAGCTCACAAGACGGTGCTAACACCGGGAAGAACTGCGTCGTGAGTTTCCGTGCTGACTCTTCTCCTTGTGTCGTGAACTTTTGGAATCCATCGCGGTGTATTGAGGCCAAGAGCATGAGATGCTCGACAGATATCGGGGCGCAATTCGAGCCTCGATACACTCTTCGATGCTCTTGTACGGACCGGAGATACGCATACGCCGACGGGTAAACCTGTTTTAAACTGCATTCTTCGGTCGGTGTGGCGAGGTGCAGGTCATCCAGGATAAGCAAAGCTGTTTTACCCGGTGGGGGCTCGAACACGTCCGTACGTTCACGTTGCAGCATACGCTCTACGCAGTTGGCCAGTTCCGACACAGCCTCGACATTACCATGAGGTATAGCGAAGAAGAAGGGGGTGACATCGCCACGGTCGAACTGGCGGATCATTGCCGTCTTGACTGGATCCATTGACGGTGCGATGGATAGTGGAGCACCGTCCTCCGCCTCGACGATAGAGCGGTCGGTTGACGAGCTCTCGCCGGTCTCGTTATTCTCCTTTTGGAGCCGCATAGCCATCAGCGTAACGAGTGAAATCTGACGTAAGCGAAGACGTTTAACGGACGCCAGAGTCGCGGCTTCCGTGGCCTTGGAGAGCGCAGGTTTACGTGTCTTGCCACTGTCATTCTCACGGCGTTGTGTCGTGTTGAAGACCCCATTGGCTGCTAGAATGGACCGAATGGCGTCGAATTGACTGAGGAAATTGCGAGCCAGAGTTGTTCGTCGTGAGCTGTGGCCACCGATGAGTAACACGCCTCGTCCTGAACGTAGCGCTTCTCTTAAAGCTGCGTGGACCACGAGACTGGAGGACGTTGGGATGAAGAGAGAGCTGAAGGAGGTCGAGACTGGAGGCGGGAGTGCCAGTGAACCCGTGGAGCTGACGACAGATACGAACCGCAGACCTTGCAGGTCTAAAAGCGTCTCATACAGGTTAACGTGTGGCATACAGCTTATCCATGCAGGTTTGAGATGTCCGAAGTGGCGTAGCAGCAGATCACTTACTTGCCGTTTGATACCGGCCTCCGTACCAGCAGCATAGCCCCACATTAAGCTGTATGTCAACGCCAACTCCACTCGAATTTGGGCAATTGGAATACTCTCATCATATACAGGATAAGTGCTCACTTTGGAGTCGGATAACGCGGACGCCGAGCTAACAAGCGACTGCAGTAATGACACCAGGTTGGTAACTCTTTGCAGCGGTGATAGGTTAATCGTATCGCCTGATCCAGTGTCAAGAGCAGCGCCCAGTTCTTCCAGTAACGACGAGCTAATGAGCCACTTTTCAACCAGGTTAAAGGTGTCCGTACTGGACCAAACCTGTGACTTTGAGACATCACTCTGACGTATTCTCTCTCGCTGGAGCTCAATGTATCGATGGAAATATGCTGTTGACAGCTCCATTCTCGAATCGTCTACACACTTTGAAGTTGCTGCGTGTGTGTCTGTTAAACTGTATCCATTCAAATGCAGGATAGCAGTCACGTGAAGAAAATTCGGAGTGGCGTCGCGTAACTGAAAAACTTCATAAAGGAAGCGTAAATTTGGCGGTAGCGTCATAAATTCGCCGTCCTCAAACGCCAGCAAGGGAGAGACCGAGTCGCTGGAGCTGACAAGTACAGCCAAAAGTCCTTCAAGCCATCGCAGATCCAACGCGTCGTCAAACACGACCCAGACCTGCTGCGGACATTGGAGAAGGGTGTCTGGTTTACTGTCTCTGTTTCCAGTGTAAGCATCTTGAGCTTCACGAATGAATTGGCCCAGAATACTTGGCATGCGACCGTGATCGTCAAGCGACACGCCTCCGTATAGCTGAGAGACTGTCAAGGCCATGGGCAAAACCACGTGGATAGAGATTCTCGGCGATTTCGAGTTCTTCACGGGAGTCGTTAGGGTGTCAGTTAGAGTTAGAGTGTCGTTGTTAGAGGAGAATGATTCGTCTTCACTCGAACGCTGGAGAGAGAGCTCAAACGCCTTTGCTAGCACCTGGTACGACGTCGTCTTCCCCACTCCCGACGGTCCCACCAGAACTGTACTGACGCTAGATGTCAACGCAGTAGCTAGCGACGACACCGAGTCAATCATCGCCTGCCGAGGTATAAAGTGAAGCGCTCGAGCTGCTACGCGTATTGACTCCTGTAGATCAGGACGTATACTGATTCTAGCTTGTAATCCAGTCTCGTTATCCGACGGGAAGGTGCTCTTGACAATAGCTTCCAGATCCTTAAGCTGTGTCTCACCCACACGGACACTGAAATATCTCAGCACAGCTTCGCCAATCAACCGTTTGTGGTCAATGTTCCTCAGTGCTAGCTGGGACGCCGCATCGTTGATGACAGCTTTTAGAGCTGAAAAGCTGAATAAACTCTCATAAACTGATAAACTCCGGATACTGACGTCGAGAGTCGAGCGAGCATGTTCCCACAAGATCAAAAGCTGCTTAGCGAGGTGTCGGGGGTCCGTAAAGCCTCTGCTCATCAGTACTGCTTCGACGATACAGCTTTGATCCCACTGCACAATCGCAAAGTGACTCAAACTCTCCGTCCAAACTCGAATCTCCTCCGCGTCTCTCATCCTCACACTCGACGGGAACACCACAAACATGGCTGTCCCTGGACTAAGCGTGATCGGCGAGCGATGTACTCCAACGATCGAATTCTTGGTCAGTACAGCGTGTTCGATTGCCGCAAGCGTGGTAGCCAACGTCTTGATCAGCGGCGCGTTATCCTGTATATTCAGGTTATGCTGCAACTTCGCACAAAATGTTCCTCCAGCATACAGTGCACCTATTAACAGGCGCGTTGCGTGTGTATACGACGTCAACGTCGCGCCGAAGTGGCGCCGCCCTATAATCGAGCTCACTTGGACGCTCAGCGTCTTTTTCCCGCTCTCCGAAGGCCCCGTCAGCGCGCAAGCTTGAGCATGTCGGACACAGGCAAACAGAGCGAAGAGAGAGCGCAGACAACTCGGCGTCACCACAACGTCGCTGTGTGGACTCGAGTAGTTGAACCCGTACGGGATCTTGAGCGTATTCATCTCGACGTGGCATTCATGACCGACCGTCGTGGCATCATCCATGCGGTACTTGAGTTGGTACTGCCACTCCACTGCCAGGCCCCCAGACGGGACCGAACACGAACTCGACTGCTTTGTAGCCATGTGGCTGGAAAAAGCATCTCGGAACTGAAGCTCTTGCAGACGAAGACACGTCCGTAATGTGATCTCGCGTGGAGAAAGAGTCTGGTTGTGTGGCAGTAGAATGCTGTTCACTTGTGCACTGTATGCTGCGATCTCGTTGGTGGTGCGTTCATCCGACAGCTTCGTGATATCTTTCGTGCCGTTCTCGATGATCGCACAGCGCACGATGCGATCTGCTAGCAAAGTGCTCTTCAGAGAATCATACCAGGTGGCTGTTAGGAGAGGAGGTGGTTAACGATACAAGGGTGTGGTTGACGACGCACCTGAACTGAGAAGCGACTTGTATCAAGTTTTGGAGTTTCATCATCTTCAACGGAGTATCGGGATAGGATTTCGACGGCTTGTTTCGTAGAGCGACGCAGCTGCTCCGCTAGTCGCTTTTCCACTGCAGCGAGCCACTGCTCGACGGGGCCTCGAGCTTTGAGGTTTTTACCCATCGCAATCGTCTCCGCTTCCCCATAAACACGGGACGTTATCTAACGCTAGAGCGGTCAGACATTTGGCCAATAGCAGAGTGAAAGTGCCCAATCAACTCACCTGAAGGATATCTTGAAACCCGTCTCGAGTGCCAAACACGATCCTACCAACGTTCTCGAAGCACTGGTACAGAAACGCCTGGATGCATCCGACGTCGCGACATTTCGACAATAAAGTCGCGAGTTCCAAATCTGAAAGTTGAAAGAGAACTGGGAATACTTGACGTTTGATCTGCAGCAGCAGTGTAAGTAAAATAAATAGCCCCAGAAAATAAATGACTTACCTCGAGGTGTTCCGCCAATATCTTCGCTGCTGCTTCGAATCCCTCCAGAACTTGTACCAGCGACTGTCGATGCTCCGTACTCCCTCCAAACGGTAAACACTGCGGGCGATTGAAGAGTCCAAGCGTCAACGCTCGCCACAAAGTGTCGTGCTTCTGTAGCTGCTTGGCTTGGTCTGGAAACGTCCGCGCAAAGTCAATCGACACGAGACGCTGTGTATAGTCCCATTTGCGCTGACAGATCAGTAGCAACTCGAGCGATTCGTTCGTGTGGTTCAACTGCGACATCATCTTCGGTAGACGCTCCTCGACCACGAGAGAATACGTCGACAACTCCATGACCCGAAGCAGCACTTGACTCTCCTCAATAAGCGACGTGAGCTCGCTACAGTCTCCGATACAGTACGCGTCTCGTCCGTCTCGGTCTTTCCTGGCTTCGATGGGGATATTCTGACTTTTCCACGTGCGTACGAGACTCTGGAAGCTCCCAGCGATCGCAGCTTCAGCTGACGCCTCCTCTGACACATGACGAATAGCTGAGGCGTGTGCGACAACGTTGACGTCCAGTAACTGCTGCATCTGTAGACCCAGACGAGAACCGGTACACGTACTGGTCTCAACCTCCTCGTCTTCTATACATTCCGGAGTCTCGACGATGCTAGGCAGGAGAGAGCACTGCAGTTTGTGCTCCAACTTGCTCCAGTGTCGCTCTACCAGGTGCGGATTGCGGAGATCTCGGATCACGGGCACCAGGCCATGCAGCGTGGCTTGCAGCTTCTCAAGACGCTCCAGTTCGAAGCTACTAGCGACCTGAGTAGCGCATTGGCGGATATTCTCCACCACTAAGTCGACGTGGCTGGCTACGTCGTTCATCTTGTCTAAGTCGACAGAGCGGATCGTGTCGCCACTGCAAGCGCTCAAGTGTCCGTCCGCTTCACAAACAGCCTCCCAGAGTTCCTACGAAGTGTACGATTAACTGGCTACTCTCGTGAGGATAAAAGTCAATACTGGGCGTACACTTTTGAGCTTCAGTTCGGCAGCCAAGTCGTGTAGATCCTCAAACTTTTGACTGGGCGGACGGAGACCAGTGGAGGCCTCTGCAAACACGTGCTGCACGCGCACTAATCGACGAGCTTCGTGCAACATTTGCTCCGCTTCTTGGTGCAACTGAAGCGCATTGTCCTGTGCGTCCTGACACGAGCTGCTCTGAGCTGTCAAGGCGTGGTCACTGGCAGTTGACTGCAGTGTACGAGTAAGCTGAAAAATATAACATTAAAATGTTAGATTATTTCACACTTTTTACAATTACTTTGTTTATTACCTTTGCGAGGTTTTCAGTGAGCAGCGGCGTGTAGCTCTGCAAGTCGTTGTCTCGATTCGTACAGGCCTCCAACACGTGCGACTTTAAGGCGTGAAACTCGGGATCGCACAGCACGAAAGCTTTGACTGTTTCCACTGATGCAGGGAACTTGAGCGTCTCAAGTAGAGCGAAGAACTCGTGCAGAAATTTCAAATCTTGCTCCTTATTGTAAATTTCCTCGTACACTTCCTGTTTAAATGTAAAATTTGAGTTTTAGATTCGCATACTACGAGTGTACATAGCGGGAAGGAGTCCGTACCCGTAGATTCAGGAGATACGTGGTGAAAGCGTCCAGATCCTGCGTCTTGGGCTTCTCAATCTTGCTGCTGGAGACGCTAATATAAAGGAGAAACTGGTCGCATCTTTCACGAGCCAAGCGAGGCAGCAGGTCGCGCATTCCGTAAAGACAGCGAGCAGGAGATGGGAGCAGCTCTGCCTGTAGTTGCTGCATGCTGAAGTGGAGAAACGCTACGTTTGAAGACATCCTGAGCGTCTCCAGGGCGCTGAGCTGCACATTTACAAAATATTCTGGTTAACTTGCAACAAAATTTAACATTACAATACATAAAAAAATTAAACCTGGTTGGTGAAATTGTTGGCCTCGTCTTTCATCTCGTCCAGCGTGTACTCGTTCCGTCGAAAGAGTCGCGCCTTGAGGTCCAAGTTGATGCTTTCGTTCTGCTGTCGAAGCTCCAGTAGCGGAGAATAGGCAGCTGCCAGCTCTTCCGCGCCAAGCAGCGCACTGCGTACAAGTTCTTGGATGTCGTCACGCATTGACAAAATGTGTGTGTTTTTCTCCATCCGCTCCGACAGACGATCAGCCGGACAGCGAGAGCGTTCTTCATCGTCGTTGATACTACTTCCGTCATCTCGAGAAATTACAGACCGGGAGCTCGCAGAAGAACGGAACGTCGAGTGTAAATTCAACGCTCGGATGTCGTCCGCGAAGCTGAGAACGGAGCGAACTTCTGGGCTAGAGAGCAGCGGTGGCACCTCTCGGAAGGCCTCCGTAAAGCCAGTGATGAGGTCTTGCAGTGTCCGCACAAGTACCGTAAGCTCTGGCTTGAAACACACTTGATATCTATGTCGTCCCCGCTTCTCTGAAGTTGCACTGGTACCCACATCGAAAGAGAACAGTGGCTTGGGACCAAGACACGGGATGGACAGCACGTCTTGCTCCACTAGCGATAAATTATTACTTGTCATTTCACAATATGTCGCTGTTGAAACGTCATTTTCTGATGTAAAAATTGAATTTTTGGAAGCCGTAAGTGAAGGAAGAACCAGCAGTTGAGTCAGCGCATTCTTCACTACAAAAAACATTTCGTCGACGCTGAAAGTATCCGCGTTTGCACAATTTTTCCTGCTTAATCCGTCGAAAACCAGCGTTTCCAGTTGGTTCTCCATAGTGGCGACGGAAAGTGTCGATACTGCCGTCTTCTCCGTAAATTTCACGCCTATTTTCCCTTTCCACGCAGCGTGAAGAATCGCTTTGATCTGTTGTCTTGTAAGTGGAGCAAGTGGTTTCGGTTGACTTGGCTCCACGGTTGCTGTTCCTGTAGAGAGACTTGCGCTCTGTCGCACTGTCTGGTGCATTGCTAGAGCGAGGTCGTCGTGGTCCTCTAGCCGAATGATCGTCGCTGCATTGGCTCCTCGAAGGATAAAAGCATGGAACAGGTCGAGACTTCGCTGGACTAGACCAGAGTACGCATCCAGCACTAGAAAATCCACTAAAGTCACAAATTTCGTGAGCTGTTTGCACTTTCGACGCTTGATGGACGCCATCGTCCACCGAATATCTTGCAGCTCGTTTGAACGTCGCGATGGCTTCTCGACACGCTTCGCATGGCCGCGTTCTGGCACTGACGAGAGCGTTAGAGCGTTTCTCGCTTGAGCAGCTTCGGACGCTGAAAGACGAGCTGATCGGAAGTGTTTATGCTGTAAAAACTGCTGGTGTGCTGATGCCAACCCTTGCTCGCACCGCACGTAGCTCTCCAAGATGTGGTAGTTGCTGCTCTTCCGAACGGATAATGCGAACTCGTGGCCTGGAAACCCCGCGTGCAATGGCGCCGTATCGCCCAGAAACAGTCGACAAATCCCGTTCAGAATGGTTTGAAGTCGAGTGACTAGCAAACGGAGCTCCTTTGTGCGAGTTTTTAAAAATTCGACCTGAACAAAGGCAGATATTTTAGAGGTTTAGAAACACCGTTAGAAATGGCTTTTTACTTACGTTCGCAGTCGTGAAGCTCTCTAGTGACGAACTCTCGCCGTTGAAATCCCACATGAGCTGCAGCTCGGATAGACTGCTGAGTTCCTTCCGGATATCGTTCATACCATTTAGCAATACAGGATAAGAGAAATAGCTATCCATAAGCAGATTTTCTTGCGCAGCTTCGTGCTTCTTGTGCTTGACCCACTGCCCCCAGGCCACGAAGACTTTGCGATATCGGAACCTGTAACCGATGCAAATAACTGTCAGCTTAAACTCCGCTGAGGAGTAATTTACTTTTTTTACCTTGAAAATGTCGATAGATTGCGAAGTTTCGTGAAATTTGCCTTTTGAGCTTCCCAGTCGCGCAGCGAGAGGAAAGTCGATTGAAAGTCGTCGCTCTTTAGATGGAACGTGTAGCCAGATTGGCTGATGGTGTAGTAGTCCCAACGAGCGTCCTGCATCTGGCTGATACTACCGCCTCCAAATAAGGCTTCCTGCAATTAATTTAATTGAAATTAAAACTGAATTCAAGAGTGCAATAATTAATTTTGGGCGTACATGAGTGACTGGAACGATGTCGTAAGGATCGTGTGGTAGTCCATGCTCCAAGAAGTGACGAGGGACAGCGTACACAAAAGTATTGTCGCTGTGGTTGCGTGTCGATGCCAGTAATCGGTCACCTACAGTCGTTTTCAGTACTTCTAGCCTTCGATAGTCACACAGAAAATATCAAATATTGCAAACCTCGTGACGATACTGGGCGAGAGTGTAGCGTCGCCTTACTTCGCGTCGTATTTGTAGTTCGTGATCCCACTGACAAGCAACTAGCAAGGGATGCAGAACTTTTATCACGAGTTCGGAATGGCTGGTAACGAGTGCTAGCAGCGGCTGAATGGGGTCTATTCGACCCACTCAACGCTTTTCCTAACGCGAAATTGCTCGAAATTTCGGCAGATTGGTTCGATGTAGTCAGCATATTCGCTCTTTTGGGGCAGGATGAGGGCGTAGACGCCGCTGAAAAGGGCCGGTTACGGTAATTCGATGGCCTCTCTGCAGTTGAGACCACTCCAGGTCTTACCATATCCTCCTTGTGCGATATTGACACCGACTCCGGGTCTCTGATAAATTCTGAATCCTCTTCCAGCTGATTGTTGCTCAAAAGTGTTGCAGCTTCTTGGACGAGTTGCATCCGATGGCGACTCACCTGTCGGCTTGCTGGATTATTTTTATTTTAATACTAAGCACAAATGCATATTTAGAGAGCTTTTGTCGTACCTGCAGTGGCCGACTTTGGTCGCATTGGAGGCTTCATGAACACACCCTTCTCATCACTCGACGACGCTGTTCGAGAAGCTTGTGGGGTTTGCTGCGGAGCTGCTGATCCAGGCCGAGGACTTTGAAGACGCTGTCGAAGCTGGAGTAAATGATGTACAAAAAGATTAAGTGTTAAGGTCGCTGTACACATTTTGACAATTTTGTGGTACCAGCAACGAAGGAGCTTCTTTTAGAGCGTTGATGGCAAAGGCAAGGCCATCCGGTCTTGAAGTTGAAGTTGTTGATGTAGCCAAGTCGTGCACGTGGGGGGGCAACGAATTGCGCGAGGACCCAGCGGTACGAGGCCGGAGCTTTGGAGGGGCACCGAAGCGCAAGTGATCTTGCATTGCAAAATGCTCGCGACGGTTCAAATGACGGCAATTGTGTACAAATACTGGGTCTGCTTATTATTAAAATTTCTTCACTGTTATAGAAAAACGGACAGCAATTTTGCTTTTTACATCAATCAAAACAAAATTTAAATTTAGTTCTTGACGTAATTATTTTAGAGCAGTTTAATCGTCCTTTTAAAAAATAGTTTTAAATCAATATTTTGAAGTATTGCTCAGCCATAATTGGAAGCAGTATTGTCCTAGCACTTCAACATGAGTTGAACCTCTGCAACCCGTCTCTTCATTGGCTGGTGAAGTAAGCTTATCTAATAATTGGCAATTGTGCCACTGATCTCTTGTGATGCCGCAGCGAGAAGCGTGCAAAGTGGTATTAATAAGTGAGTGATTTGTGACCAAACTCTCCTTCAACGCAGAAGCTGCTGTGGTTGTGAGAGGGTTGTTCGCTATGTTGAGCCAGCAGAGCTGCTTGGTGTACTCCAGCAGATACGACAGCGCTAGATAGCCCTGTTTATCGTTAAATATACACAGCAAATTGTCCGACATGTCGAGAGCTGTCAGTGTCTTGTGGAAGGACAAAGCGCCGAGTAAAATCCGACATCCTTGCGGCTGCAAGTCATTGCTGGCAAAGCTGCGATATGCAACAAGGCCCTCAGGGGTTACAACAATAATATCATCATTAGGGAAAGCACACCACTCCCTTGACGTAACAGAGTCGCGATCTGACAGATTGAATCCCGCGAGAATTCCTGCAGACGACGCAAATGATAAAAATGCGATCTGCTACATCAACACGACAGGAGAACCGCACCACAGTCGAATCAACGGCGTGTTGAGCTGCGATACAAACTCTAACAGACAGACCACTCGCTCCGGTGACACGTTGCTTTTGTCCATCGAGAGCGCAATCTGCCTATCCGCGCTTCCTTCTTTTCGCTCACACAGCTCGGCGACGTACGGGCTCAAAGCGCTTGGCAATTCCGTAGCGCTATCTTCTCGATGCTGTGCTTCTTGAGCTTGGAGCTGCTTCTGCATCTGCTTACGAAGTTTCTTGGGGTCCTGCAAAAGAGACCCTTCTCAACCGACACGAATACTTACTTAATACAGGCCACAGCAATGAAAGAGTCAGCAGCAAACGTGCCTTCCCATGTGTCTGGGGTAAAAGCATTCAAAACGTGCTGTTCATTCTTATGGTTAAAACGCTACAGCAGCTAATAGTGACGATACGTCCTTACTTGCCGGTCTTCTTGATCTGGATGGTGAGACCCAGCAGGAACACCACGAGCATCGCCACGAGGTATCCCCACCATTCCTTGGGGATGTCGTACACGTAGTCACCGTCCTCGTCCTTGTGGCGGTAGTCCTTGATAGCCGTAAGCTTGGGGAAGTCTCCAATAAAGTAACCAGCGCCGTTGACTAACACCACAGAGCCGACCAGTGCCGTGGCCACAATGATGGCGAGACGCTCGACCTTGAAGGCGATCAGACCGCAGATAAGACCAAACACAATGGCCATAATGAGCAGACCCGTCGTGGGGTCGTTCGGGTAGATTCTGTAGCCGAACGACGCGTTGACGATGGTGGCCAGGAACACGCCACCAGCCGCACCGATAAGGAAGACGCCTGCATTGTAGACCGTGACCACGAGACAACCCAGAGCGATACCACCAACGAGGAAGGCGATCCAGAAGGCTGTGCGCTCGTACGATCGGCCATCCACAATGTACACGACGATGGCAGAGACGATGTAGCCACCGACGAGGAAGCCGCAGGCGAACATGGTGGGACGAAGCAATTTGTAGCCACACGTGGTCATGGCAACTCCGCCCACAATGGCGATGACAGCGGCAATACCGGGACCGACGTCGATGGAGTCCGAAATGTTGCCGACGATGCCGTCGGTAGAAGACGAGCCGCGAAGAGCAGAACCCGAGTCCGAGTCAAAATCTAGCGCCGTAACCATGAACATGTAGAATGCCAGCATGGGCAACAGCAGCAGCGGCTGCAGCTTAAACGAGGTCATTCTTGCCAAAACTGAAGCGGTAGACGTCTAAGTCGGCAAATCTGGAAATGAGGGAATGCAAGGTGCCATCGACAGTGGACTGTACAGATCAGTCCTGTCCTACGACAGCTGTCAAGTCTTTGGATACATTTCGAGTGGAGTGTCAGTTTTCTTGTGGTTCTATTGGATAATTGAACATTATTTTGTCGGAAAAGAATCTTTCATGGGAGGCAAATGACGTGGATTGGTCAGGAAAAACAAAGTTTAGGGCCACATTTTGTCTGGGCAGAATCCAGAGTTTGCCAAGAATCGTGCGCTTGACTCTCACGTCTCAGACGTTTGTTCTTGCCTCGGCTGACCCATTCATGGGTAAATTCGTTGCCGTAAAGCGGCAGGTATTATTAGTACATGTAAAACAGTACCCAACCTGAGCCGTGACTGTAATATTTCGATATTCCCACATTTGTTGCTGACCACTTCCGTGTGATTACACATAATAATCTTACCGGTATGGTATTTACACTTCAATTTTAAAGATTCCGACTCTCTCCTTCAATGAAGGACCTTCATCTTGCAATCTATTATAGTACAAGCTTTTTACCTTACAACGACCAGAGCGCAGGGCTTGGCCTCGTACGCTCAGTAACTTCAGCCGGTGCTAGGTGCAAATCGCCAGCTTCAATTTCGAACTCACTCAAATTCGTTTCGTTCGTCATGTACGCGTCCCGGTGCTTGCGCCACCCAAATGGGCGTTGGCGCTTGTGACATCCATTTGAATTCCTCAAACTCTCTACAACGATTTCGTATAGTTTCAACGTGCGTGGCGTCCACCTCAGTGTCTGTATGATGTTGTCTAGTGGTATGAAGCACCAGCGGACGCTCCGGTAAAGTCTCGTCACATCCTCCACTGCACCCGAGTGAGATCGCGGCAGCTGAGCATCAGGGCCGAGATGATAAACATTGAGACCGAATATCATCTTGTTCAAGCACCGCAACAGCGTCCGTTCTCCCTCTGGAATGCGCAGATGGTCACTGCAGAGTACCAGCACTAACGTCTCTACTGGAAGCTGCTGCATCTCTGACACGGTTAAGATATCTCCGACATCCGAGTCTTTATTTCCAGGTGCGCAGTAGAATAATGTCGTCTGCAGTAACTGGTGATACAAACTACAGATCGGGTCACCCCATAAGAAAAGTTTACCACTAACGGTGCATATGGTGCGACGGTAGTAGTTGTGTTGTGGGTCTTCATAATGTACCCATCCTTCGGTCCTAGGACTGATTCGAGTTGCTGTTGATGAGGGAGAGACGAGTGCTTTCCAGTGGCAATACTGATCTCGACAGTGTTGGTATTTTATTTGCGTTTCCTCCGTCACGACGGCACCTCCTTGGTCGGCAGGTTGGTATTTGACTATTAAGTGACCTCGGATCCAGAACTCGGGGTCTCCGTCGAGCGCCTCCGAGCTCATAACGACTTCAGAATCCTCTGAAAAAAAATATGGTGACGTGCGACGAATAATCCGCCACAATAGAGGCGACGACTGTGTTGCATTGATACACGCTTGCAAGACAAAATCGCCGAACTCGAATAAAGCCACATGAAGCGGCACAGGCACTGCAGTAGGAGTGTTTGTAAAGCACTCAACACGAGACAGTTCCACGTAGGGCTCCCAATCTTTAGCAAAATGCTGATGAATTGTGCGCAGTGATGGCAGCTGAGGAGAGTCGAACCTCCGTTTAAGCCACGTGGTCAAAGCATCGAGCAAGTTTCGCCAGAATCCGACTAGACGAACGTTCTTGATCAAAGCAAATACAGCACGTACCACTATATCGTGGTCGTTGATTGCCTGGATCCACGTCGTTTGGATTTTATCCATCGCGTCCTGATATTGCACAGGCTGCAACCCATACAAGAAGTCGATTAGCCGCTCGCTGAGATTGTTCCGCATTTCTTTCTTGCTCAACGCCGCCGACGATACCAGCAGCTCCATCCACGTATCCAGCGTCACTTGTCTGACAGCAGCTTTAAGACAACAGTATCGAAGACGATCCCCCATGCCAACCCATTCTGATAATAATAACGTTTCTCTGGCACTCGAGTTGTGCAATAACCGAACCTTGAACGTGTAGACGTACTCGATCACTGGTACCATAGCGATAGCTGACGCTCCGACCAATTCTACATGAAGAACGTTGCTTGTTACTCTAGTATTAGACGTATCCGGTATCTCCATGTCGCTATCAAATAACCTTTTCGGACGCTTAGTATGAAGCCATCGGGTGTGCCAGTTGTTGTTCCTATGCACAGTCTCCTTTCGTCTTCTTTTTTTACCTGTTCCATCCATTTCAATGTCCTGAACCAGCTGCTCATCATCGCTACTACTCGAATATTCGGCGTCAACGTTCATACGTTGATGGGCGGCAGCGAAGCACCTTGTGTACAAGAGAGGCTTCGACAATGTGATCGTCTGAAATGGGCACCGTTTTGTAGCTTCCTTGTGCTCTTTACTAGGGTCTGATGAAGCCAATTGGAGCGTATATCGAGAGAAAATTGCAGTATAGGAGCCGTTTTTGTGTTCTCTGAACCTTTGGAGCTGCAGATGGAGCCAGGGCCAGCGCAGACGCAGAACTTCTTCGTGCAGCGCGAAGATGCAGCCGCCCACGTGCAGCATGACGTCTGGAGGGGCTTGTGAGGCTTCTGGGAGGACTGGCCGTTGCCACGAAGAGCTGGACGATGTGGCTACAGCGGAGAGCGGTGCCTGGAGACCGTCGCGCACCAGCTCCATTGCAAGTCGGCAACTGCAACTTTTTCAACTGGAAGTGTGACTTTCTGTTTTCAATTATTTGGGTGAAATATATTTGAGTAAAAGCTAGCAAAATTTATTGCTTAAAAGTATTTTTTTGCCTACTTCAGTGATTTCCGAGAAATGGCTGCACCATTAACGGCATGGATTATATTTCCTTTCTTTCCCAACAGGATAGCATCGCTCGATTCTTAGTGCAGCAATGTCGACACTGGCGCAGCCATTCCCGGTGCTTTGGAAAGATGTCGCCAGATGTGGCTTTGAAGGGGTTATTGAGATCCAAAGCTCCGACCTGCCTGTGGATGCTCGAGTAACAGGATCCTTAACGAAAAAGTATCCGCTTCAGTGCTGACACCAGAGAATAAATATCGCGGAGTGGTGTCCATCCAACTGTATGGAATTCGTGTTGATAAGCACAAAACGATGGATTCGCTCATTCCCGGACTTCTGGAGGGCTGTCCACGCTTGGTTGCCGCTACGAGACTGGTATCTAGAACTATCCAGGATGTAGAAACGATTGCTCGCTTCCACGTACCGCGGTTGCTAAGCGCTACATACATCAAAACATTAACCGGTAAAACGATTCAGGTCGGATGTAATCCCGCGTACAGCGTTGAAGATGTCAAAATGTCAATTTCCGAGCAGGAAGGCATCCCTCTGGATCAGGGTTTCCTAAAAATATATTGTAATAAGCAATAATTGCCATATTATGCCATACCATTATGTATTTCGAGCCGCACGACTCCCCCGTCAATAACTTATTTCGGTAGATTTAGTCCAGAGTAACATATTTTGTCATTTTGAAATCAAAAATTTACTTATCATAACCCTATTGTATTACTTAGTAACCAATAAGAAAGCGGCCGCTGGAGCTACTCGACAACCAACCGTTCATGCTGCTGCTCTGAGCTGAGGCCAGGCTCATTTGTAAATTCCGTGCTGGCATGGATAATCTTCTCTCCCCAACGCGATCACCAGTTTCTCGCTACACCAGAAAGCAGATCTGCGATGTATTTTTCAAGCCAATCCGTGACGAGAATGACGACTGTATGGGTTTCTATCGATGTCGCTGCGGCGTACAGCGGAAACAGGACGCCAAACGTGGCTACACGAACCTAATCAACCACATTTATAGTCAACATCCTGATTATGAAACTACTCTAGACAGTTTTCAAGGCGGCAACAATGGCACACTCTTGTCGTTCGTAGACAAAAAGAGTGCCAATATATTTGGATGGCTAGACTGGATTGTTGATGATAACTTGCCGCTCTCATTGTGCGAGCCCAGTCTAACGCGACCCTCCACCACCCTCATGCGCATATGTGATGATACCTTGGACCTCAACATGGCAGCTGTTTATCACGAAACGCGAATGTGGTCATTGCTTTCACACGGAATGCGTAAGTAAGTGGTCGGCGTGGTGCAAGACCAAGGGTGTGCTGGCAAAATGTTCCGTTTGTCACCAAATAACGTACTGATCGAGAGGGTACTGGCTTTCAACAGTCAGGAGTCCGCGGTGAATTGCTTTCAAGGAGGTTTTGCGAGACAAGCTTAGGAGCACCGAGGAGACGGACCCAGCTTTATATTTTGCATCCAGCGAGTTTGGTGACAATCCTTAATTACTGAAACAAAAAAAAATTCCGGTAAATTTGCTAACAAATCTTTTCTAGCATTGGATGTAATTCAGTTATTGCTCTTATTGGCGTGTGAGACGAAAGGGTTTATTTAGGTAGGAGGGGGGGGGGGGGTCAACAATGATGATTATATTATTATTATGTATTTACTTGTTGACCTACTTCCGCAAAAGCATATGGATTACTAAAACTGATTACGAAAAAAATGATTTACATATGAGTCGTAAATAGTGGGCATAATACTTGCTGCATCCACCTCTGGGGTGGTTAAAGTCACACAGGAATTGCCTCTAGTTACACACAGTGGTTCTTGTGTAGCAGGAGGGGTCAAAGTCACGTGGGAAGTACCTCTAGTCACACACGGTGTAACTGTTGGCTCTTGCATTGTAGCTGTAGCACATTGTATTGTAGCTAGAGGTGCGCTCTGTTGAGTCGGAGGTTCGTCATCGTCCGAGTTTCACTGTGGAAGTGTTCTTGTTTTTTTTTCATCTCCCGTATCGCTTTTCATCACAGCATCCTTTGGTTCAACAGCATTGGTATTTGACGTAGGCGAAAATGTCAGCGACGATAGCTGTGAAAGCGGGTCTACCCATTCACCTTCTCGACCAACAAATGGTGCAACACCATTCTTGATAATGTCTTCAAATTTCTCCAAGGCGTTCATCATTTCTCCAAATACAAACGTTCCGTTCCTGCTCATAATGTCTGCAATACTCTTTCCACACTCGAGAGCGTGCTTGTACTTCGTCGTCCCATTTAAATCGTGATGGCGCCTTGCTGTCATAGCAGAGTCACGGACTTGGAAGGTTGTGCACGCAACTGTTTTGTCGGGTACGTCTTCTTCTGGCGCAGGTTGATTCAGCTTGCACGACAACCTCCAACGGGGTGCAATGTACCGAATAGGAATTGCCTGTTTTCCACGTAAAAGACGCCAATACATGACGTGCCGGCATGGAAGCAACATCGTCTTCATGAATACACATGAGCAGTGATATCTCTAAAGGCACGCAATAACAGCGACGTACGTTAGGGTTTACACGGGCCAGAACGGGTGACAAACTTACCGTAGTGTCGACATGATAGCATGTACTGGTGTGGCCACCTCCGGTCAGGACAAACAGGCTGGAATGTATTTCCTCCACGCCGTAACTTGTCTTGCGATCCTTAGACGCACAATACTGCTCTTCAACAAGCCGGTACGCATACGGGCTGACTTCGCGCGCTAGCTGTTCAAGCTCGTGATCTGCACCATCATAACGCATCTGGCCCACGCCTGTAATTTTCTTTCCGTACTCCATCTCTGCTACTGCTTGCAAGAACATCAGCGTATCTACGCACTCATCCAGCGCCATCTCCGGCTTCAGAACCTCTTTGATATGACCCCATGATGTTTCAAGCCTACAGACCACCAAACCACCAGGCAAAAACACAGTTAAAGGTGAGTCTAGAACCTATAGCGCAAGAAAATGTACCTATTATTGGTGTGGTTGCCTAGATGTGGAACATCCGAACGTGCGTACAGCGCCCATCGTTCTTTCATCGAATCCCAGTTCTTCATGAAGTACTTCAAAAATGGATGCGTAGGCACAGGTACAGGGTCTTCACGTTTAAGACGAACACCTTCCAGCAAGAAGTATAGATACTTCAGATACTTAACGTACTCATCCGTAGAAACCGCCAGCCGCATCATATCGATAGCATCTTCAACTTGGTCTTTGTCGAAGCTGGACGGGCCTCCATACTCGCTCTTTGCCAGCTCGGTCCGAATATACTTCTTCAAATGGAAGTGACACAGAATCACTTTCACGCCAGAGAACTCCATTTCTAGTAATCCCAATTCACCCATGTCCTTGTCAATCACAATTACCCTGACTTGCTCTCACGAAGAGTTGTTAAACTTGAGCGACCCGATAGCATCTGAAAGACACTCTGCACTTTCGTTCTCCATGAGACTGTGGTGTACGTATTGACCCTAGCATTACGTTAACAACTCATAAGTAAGAATTTGTACATATCAAGTACATGTTGTAGCTGAAGCTACGCAAACAGTAAAAGTGTAACTAGAGGCACATAGGATGTAACGACAGGTACATTTACTTACATGTCCGTACACATCGTTAACCATGAACGAGAAGAGCTTGTAGCGCGATTCGTTGGTGTTATGCGTCGCGTCAATGAGCATCACTTCAGGAAAAGCCTTGAACCAGCGTCGCATTTGTCTCGTCTGCAACGCGATGGTCTGTGCAGTTTTGGATTCGTCGACGTAAACGGTTGCTCGGTTTCCACGACATTCGCAAAGCCCTCGCAAGACAGTCTCCAGCCGTTCTTCAGTAGCCGCACCTCCCCTTCGTCTCTCCTTCATCCTCGCCACATGTTGTGTACATCTCGAAGCACCACATTTTTTCCTACATGGAGTCCAAAACAAGAAAGCTATCAGTCACTTTATATAATTCTGGGTTGAGTTAAGCGCACCCACCTGTCTTCTTTCGCAGGAACTGCATAATTAGCTTCGGCTTAGAACCAGCAGCTTGGAGTTCATCCACGAATGCCAGTATGTCCGGATCCTCCACGCGACGGTTCGACACATGGTTCTCAAATGTAGCGCGAGACACATTGTGGTTGTGTCTGACGTCAAAGTCAGTGACGCGTACCATGAACGTGTCGTGTTCATCGCTCCATACGACAGCAGCCTTAATGTTTGCCTTACAGCCTGT